TGAAAAATGGCGCAACCTATGCAACATTGGCACAACAGATTGCAGCCGAATTTACTTATTTTAAAGGGTTATATTATGTTCTGTATGAAGTTACGTTTTATTGGGAAATCAAGGTATAATAATTAAACAAGATGAACAACGACATGCATCACATTTTTTGTTACGAAAGATTACAGATTTTATGCGGAATGAAAAAGAAATTTTAAAATGCTCTGCGAGTAGAAATTGCGCTTTCACCGTAAGAAGCAATACGTTCTGGACGTGTTTTGATAAAAAGAAAAGGTTCCTTCGTTCAAACGCCAATAGCAAGTAGCCAAAGTTAATCTCAAATCTGCCAACGCCAACATTGTTATTGGAACGGAAGCTACACGCCTCACGGACAGATTACGTGTCCCCTTTGCACCACGTGACGTTTCTCTTTCGACTTTTTTAGCACACAGGTGCAGCTCAATGCCAACAACTGATTTGCCCAGCAAGAACGCACTATCCTCAGAGGAATGAGCTTCGAACACAACACTGAGCTTGCTTCCTCGGTATTTATTTTCTGATGAACATTGTTTTCTGAAAGGCCTGTGATCGGAAATGTTCATTATTGAGTGATGTGCCATTTTTGCATAGCCCAGAACTAAGAGATGCAGTGTAGGTTAATGCATAAATGCAGTTTAAGTTAACCCTAAACTACTTATGAGGAATCTTTGTGACTAAAGTCTATTTCTTACTTAGTACCGTCTCTTTACTAGTTATATATCCCTATGAATGAATTTTGTACAAGTCTCTGGTCGCTGTCCTGCTCCTTTTTTAACTACTTCTGGTCTTCTATAAGGGAGCAAACCTGAACATCTGTTGTATTTAATTTGTTTTTAAAAATTCTATTGGTTCCTGTATTATGCATAGGCAAATGCTGGTATCTGCTGATAAGATTAAGTTGTTTACAGTGGTGAATTTGGTACGGGACTGTGAGCGTTTTCAGCGATATATAAATTTTATTTCGACGTGGTGTTCTTCAAATTACCTTTTTGTATATGAATGAAAACTATGAATGTTATGACGTTTTTCGAAAGCGTGATCTATTCAGTATTTGTTATACATTGTAGGCCATAGTTTACACTCGTGTTAAAGTTATTCGCGACCTAGGAGTTTAAGAGCTAGGAGTTTACATGTATGCTGCAAATAATTTAAATCAGCACGTTAATTCAGTGTCAAATGCATTATTTAGAGTTCTTGATGTTATAATGTGGATTACACTGAGTTTTTTGGAACCATTTAACTTTTGCGACTATTTTGTTCACTTATACGTCTCCGCGTCAAATTCCGCTCGTCTGTTTGGAATTGCTTTAGATCAACTAAATCAAGCTCCATTGAGCGATGATTAAAAATAATTTTCGTGTTGTATGACTAATACTTTCAACCTAATCATTACTTCAGATTCAGAAAGATATGCAACCTAAAGAAAGTTAGATATTTTGCACACCAGGTGGATTGTGCAGGATTTTATGTTCCTGCATAAGGTGATGAATGGAGTTGTCGAACTACCCTTGCTCCTCATTTACATCTGCTTACGTGCTCCTCGAAGGACTAGTAGACAGTGTTGATTGTTCTGTTTTTCTTACTCGAAATGACGCAGCACACACCAGTCGCTAAGAACGGAACAGATCGCTGCAAGTACTACTAAAACCCCTCCCTATTGAAAGTAGCGCAAAGACATTTTCCCTCAAAATCTTAATTTTCCTCCGCTCCGCGAGTGTCGCCCTCTCCCATTTCGACGCTAGCGCCTCCTAGGCTGCCCTTCCATACAGCGCCGTGACACGTGACTGTTGGCGAACCCTTTCTAGATCGGTATTTCTTGCGCGATTTTGACTTGCATCCTCCGTGTTTTGGCTAGGATAAAAGTTGCCGGTGTTTATGACGTCTGGAATTCTAGGTATGTCTTCTTATTGCTTCACGTCTGGAACAGGCACGCGAGTTTTGTCGAGGCTTCGGGTGTCTTCCCACTCCGATCATTCGGTTGGAGATCATGTGAATCTTCCGATTCATAAGCATTCGTACAATAAAATTCGACTTTGAGACAAGTCGCCCTAATCTTATTTCCTCTTCAGCAGGCGGGGGGCGAAGGGATAAACGCGCACGCATTTCAGTTATGGAATGCGAAGCCGTGATGTGACGCTGGAAACGGAGCAAAGCACACCGAAGTTTTCGTCTAGTTGACTCGCTCGTTTCAAAACAGTCGACAGCATATATCATAATGTTTTCTGCGTTTTTGTGTCTGCCTTTACACGCCAAAGTGACGGCGAGATGAAAAAACGTTCGTGAGCGTTTTGTAAACACGTGCAGCAAGTGATGTAGTAATGCCACGTCATAGCGGCAGTTCGGTGATCAGTAGTAGAAGAAAGGAGACATTCAATGAGGATGATGGTGATTTTCCTAGGCTGTGAATGTGTGTCGGAGGATCAATCAATGGTGCTACTTTCAGTATATACCAACCAGCTTTACTAAAACACTCAGTTGAAAAAGTCACTCTTAACGCTCGGACCGCTCTCGTGCACCGAGACCAAACTGGAATGATAACAGAGCCGCCATTTAGTGACGAGTCAAAACATAAAAGTTATAAACTTTTAAGTTTATAAAAGTTAAAGTTATTTCGCATGTAGCTCATGCGAAATAATATTGCAAGATGGCGCCACCAGCCCTTGCGCGATTCGACCTGAACCAATACGTGCAGCCGTGTAGTTTCCGGGGTGGCCGCTACTGGAGAAATGGTGTCGTTGCGATCGCCCTTAGTTCGGTTCTCGAGTAAGGATCGAAGCCACTTTTTCAGAGCAGGCTCTATGGCGGTTTTCAACTGAGTTGTTCGAGTAACATACTCACCAACTCATGTTTACAAACAAACATGAGCGCCCCCTGCGGCACCCCATCAGTACCGCGCATGCGCGATGGGGTGCGGGCAAGAGGCGCCGCGTCTCACATCAACAAACCATTGGAATGTGATGTTGTCAGCGTCGGTGTGAGTCCCCGTGCTTTTTTTTGCGTTGGAATTGTTGATAATGCGCCTTCCTAGCTATATCTTATTACTCTAGTAACCTGAGCGAAATTAACGAGGCTCGTTACACAGCAAAGAGTCTTATAAATAATGTCAAGCGTGGCGATTCATTTCGCGTGAACGCCAAGAAATGGACGCTAAAGCCTGATTCACGTGATGAGATTCTGATCGCTAAATCAGTCGCGACGTCGCTCGAGCGGCAAATACCCGTAAGGTACTTGAGATGCTCGACGTTGATATTGGAAATCGGAAGCAAAATCGAACCTAGTGGATTAGGCGAAACAGGTCGGCGATAGCCGCTAGTAACAATTATCAACATCTCCTTGCATCTACCGTTTACATGAAGCCTGCTTATCGGGAAAAAAAAAGAAATTTCAAACTTAAAAGTTTTTGAGACCTGCACTTCTTGTCGCTACGTTTGGTCTGCTGGCCGCTGTTGTTTGAACGAGCAAACCAAAGTTTGAGACTAGTTTGAAAGAGCAGACGACAGTATGAAAGGTCAGACAGCCGTTTGAACCTGAAGACGCACTCAACGTGGTCCGGACAACTTGACGGTTTTCCTGCGTCCATGTTCGAACAAAAAAAAAAAAAAATCTGACGACCATAAATGTCCGTGAATTCAACCCTAACTTCTCCCGCACAAGCAATCGTGGTCCCACAGGTGCCTGGTTTCCCTTTTCGCTGCACATATCTACATTCTCGGAAAAACCGAGCAGACAGAAAACATAGAAAAACAGATTTTTAAACCTTCCCGGTTATTTTGGTACAGCCCTAGTCGCGGCGATTTGACGAGAAGGCATGTTTTAGTCTGATTTCTTCAAGAACAACACAGGAATGCACGTTCCGCATGGCGATTTCCGTCCACAGCCGAAGACCGGGAGTACGCCTGACGCGCCACCACCGCGGCGAGACGTTAATGAGTTGAGTTGGCGTATAGGGGGGATTGAAGTACTTACCCGGTGACATTTTTTTTTTATGATATGCGTATCTTTCGACGTGCATGTGTGTGATTGTTCAGCTTTAACTTTTTTTTTCAGTTTTCGCGGTCATATTGTTTTGAGATCAGTTCAAAACGAGTCGGAAGTGCACCACTAAATAAGCGCCAAGCTGTTTGCTACACTGATTATAAGTGATGAATGAAACTTTATTTCCCGCTAACCTTCTCTCCACAACCACGCTTAGCTATTCTGATTCACCGAAGTTCGAAGAGAAATTCCGCGAAAGGGTGGGTGTATTCAGGGAAGGGGGAAAGAGTCCGGGTAGTACTCCGTTCACGTCTTAGCTGATAGTACGGTTGTTTCTACGCGCTCATCGTACCTTCTATCAGCTGGCCTCGGTTCCTGCGCGTCGGTATTGGTGGGAGCGCGATCACTTGGCGAAAGACAGACGCACGACTGGCACAACGAGCGCGTAGCTTACACCGCACTATCAGCTTGGGTCAGAGCCATTGATAGGAGAAGTGTGGCGCCAATACTGGTGGTGGTGGCCGACATTTTCGGTTGTCGACATATTTGGTGGCCGACATATTTGGGCCTCGCTTTCCGTGCGCATGGTTGGATTAAATCCTAGCTTACACAAAGCGCTGGAATAACGCTCTTGTTTAAAGAACGCGCAAAGTGCATGCCCAAGCTATGTTATCCTCTGATAATTGAAGCAGCAGTTTTGGGAGGGCCAAAGCTTTTAAATAGGGTTTAATGCTACTCTTGTAACGGAATCTCAGGAGACCGCGTCAAGCGGTTCTGTAGCAGCTTTTTTGTTTAATGGCGGGGGAGCAGGAGGAGGGGCAATGATACTTTCTGCAGGGTCTACAAGGAAAGATTCAGCTTAGATATTAGTTTATTCAAAATGTTTAAGTACCGTGTTTTGAATTTTAGTTTTGAAGTGCATTTCCTGGTGAACATAAAGGTATTGGAGATTTAGTGTGCGATTTGATTCAGACCTGTTTAACTGATTTGATTCTCAGATGCGACACCGTGTTGCGACCACAGGCCTTTTAAGTGCAGCAGAGAGATGGAGATCTCCAGTATTTTCGAATGTGACGGGATGAGGCAGTGCCCAAATAGCACAGATAGCAGAGTGCAATATGACTACGCTTATAAACATGACGAAGATTACAATGTGTGCGGTAAGTGAATGATGCTTCATCGTGCCTTAGATAATTTAAATGTATCTAAAATGTTCTTAAAGTCAATAGCTTCTGTCCACAACCCTTAAATTGGTCTGCATTTGATCATCCATTCAGGAGTGGATATTTTTTATAGTTTGTTAGTCTAATATACGCTTTCAAATTTGTTCTGCTTTGGAAATTCGTTTATCGTTGCGATCATCTTTCTTGTTTATAAATAGAGTTGTTTCAGGTACAAAAATAGAAGTCTGATTTTTTAATTTTTTAACTAATCGTAAAATTTATAACTTGGATTTTTTGTAATTATGGCTATATCAATATCTAGGAGTAGGAGAAAGCACAGACATCCCAAAACTAAATGCAGACATGAGATAAACGCACTAAATAAGCATTAAATAACTTCTTTCCAACTTTCAGTGTCTACGCAATACCTTCCACCTGAAGAACTGACTTTGAGGGCTCAAAGTACATACAACGGGAGTGTCCTGCTTTCGTGGTCCTTTCAATACGTGCCTTCAATAAAATCCAAGGGTGAACTCAGAAGATGGCATGACGACGTCGAAAATGTTTACCTGGCGGGATACCTTCTTTATGGCTCATCCGACCATCACACTTTTACGAAGACCTTCCCGGCCAATGTTACTGAGTACAGCCCACTCGCCCTAAAGAGATGGACTCTCTACGAGATAGTTGTGCGACCGTACTACACGTCTGACGGCAATGCTCAGCCCGTTTACAAAGTTGGGAAGGCGGCATATGTCGTCTACCGGAGTGAGGCAGCAGGTACGTCTTAGAACTGTAATTTTATGCATATTTAGATTGATATTTTTCAGCAAAATAGTAATAATCTTTTTTTAAATGAATGCCCAGAACTCAATCAAAATATAACTGGATCGAGGACTTAATTTCTTTATTAAGGAATCTTTCTTCTGCAGCAAGACCTTCAAATATGCATCCTAATTTTTAAAAAAAAGTTTATATCGTATTCATAATTTTTAACTTAAAATATAGAACTGACTAAAAATAGCGCTTTCTTTCTTCTCGTATGTTCTTTTTTTGTGATTTGAAGCTTGTGAATTTAAGCAAAGTTCCTTTATAATGATTCGCAACAGTGTCATTCGCACGTAACACAAACTCGAAATTGTTGTTAAGAAACTCTTCCACGGTAAAATTATATTGGATTCCAAAGGAGAAGTGATAACCAATGCCTAAAATATTGAAAATGGCGCTTGATCTACAACACATTTAATATTTCAAATATCCTTAAATTTCTTCAAATACACTTTGGGGTCATTACTCTAAACTAGGATGGGTGATGGAAATTAATACTCTACAGCTAATATTTTGTACTAGTTAAGTTCAATTTCATTCGCACTGATCTCGGGATAACAGTTTAAAGAAAGGAAAAACACTAGCTAAATTATTTTTCCGCTTCACTTTTTAGTATTTAATTTTGTTCTGTGTATTTATGTTTCCTATAACCAAATAGTAAATATAAAAAAAAATTATAGGTCTTTCGAGCAAAAACGGTGTTCCTGAAGCAGAGAAAAATATGGACTTTTAAGCTCTTCGTGTGTAAGATCTCCAAAATTACAATTAAGTACACGGTGATACATTATATCTGACTCTAACTCACTTTTTATTACATACAGTCTCACATAGTTACATACAGAGCATGAGATGTGCAGACAAACGCACTCACACATTTGGGCAAAGAAAGCCCGAATTAGTAGAAAGGCAGATTGAAACACCGCTTTCACGTAAAAGTTCCACTCCCCAACGGTCTCTACGTATTTCAGGCTGGTCGCACGTGTCCACCACACCTTCAATTTGCAGGTACTGACGCCTTACGCATTTCAACGCAATAAAGAAAGCCATTATGTGTTTTTAGAACAGCGTACCCACAAGCTTTTGCACCCAAAGATGTAGCATTGCCGCCACTGTCTATGATCCAAACATCATTCTGGTTTTGTGTAGACAAAGAATGTGGGTGCCCAAAGTCCCTTCGATAAATTTGCGTTGCTCTCAAAATTTTTAAGAAGTTGCCGAAAGGTTGAGTCAAGCAAAATTCAAAAATGGCGGCTCAAGAAACCGCGACGGTTGTTTGCTCCAGTGAGCAGACTCCTGGTGAACATGGTTTTCAAGATCAAAAGGCTTTATTGGCTATGCTCATAAGCATTATCGTAACACTCAGATGACTATACATACTAATAATATTAAAAAATATATATATGTTCTTTTTTAGAAATGATAAAAATAAATGAGCATATCTTTATGTTTGTGTATTTTTTTTAAACAAATCCAAAAACATATCTATACGCGTATATTACGTTTTCTCAACGGATCAGTTCTATGTTTTTCTTCAAATATGTTAGCAACGGAGTTGTGCGATTTCGCAGACAAAACAAAGCAAAGGTGTCAAAACTATTAAAATATAGTCAAACATTTACGTTCTTTTTCCAACCAAATATTGACTACAAAATATATGTTACAGAGGAGAATATAAGCTGTAACCACATGTAGGCTGCGCAATTAAAATATGAATGGAAACAATACACCCAGCCATATTTAATTAATTGTATTACTTGTATGCGCAAAATACCATTAATGCATAATTGTGAAAACTAAACCTTAAATATAATTATTTTTTATTGATTTTACCAAAATATACGTATATGTTTTCTAGAGAATCTGTTATGTTACATAGCGGTGCGATGATGCATAGGTGTGCAAAAGTCATTTCCACCGTTATGAATGACTTTTTATAGTATGTGCGCTCCATTTTTGCGTCAACGTTTACTCAATATTGAGGTTATGTCTACACACTAGATGCTGATAAGTCTTGACCGGAAAGAAATGATAAAAAGAAGCCAATACAATTTCACAAAAATTGTGTTTTTAATTATTACAAATGATGATTTCACACCGTGTTAATAGTCATATTTTACAGGTTTAAACTATACCTACAAAATAAAAGTGACTTGCATATTTCGGTGGTTTAATCTCAAATCATCAAGGAAAAATGATGGGTCTTCAAAACATTCTGAAAGAAAATATATGTTCGGCTAAGCTCTTCATTAGAACAAAATAGAAAACGTTTTTTGAATAAAACAATTATTTTGGAGTTTTTAATTTTTAATAGACCGAAGGCAGATGCTGAGATTTTGACGGTTGTCAGAGGTCGCTAATTTGAGAGTCCTGCTACGCTCATATATTAGCTTCACAGCAATCAAACGTTTTTGGCATGTTGTACACTTGAGGTAGAATTTCTTAATGACAATTAAAAGGATTTTTTTTTCTATTTCTTAAAATAACAATGGTCAAACGCAGTCCTTTTGACAAACATTTGCCAAACCTGAGTGATTAACTCTAATTTCTTTCAACGCTTTGCCATGAACAACACATTAAACGAAGTCTTAAAACATTATCTATTTCGGAAAAGCATAATAAGTATTGTCAGTCAGGTGTGATGCAGTGAAACACACTTCTGAATAAATGAGGTATCGCTAAAAGTACGATATCCAAAGTCAATATTCTAAAAAATAAATTTTTAAACTATTTTAATTTTTTATACGGAAGCTTTTCGCCATACTATTGAAACACTGATAAAAATTAGAGCGGGATTTTGTTTTTTGATGTAACGCCATACGTTTAATAACATGAAATTTTCCCAACTGTTATGCAATGACAATCTGGATCGTCACCGATTGTTTTGCATGGTTGTCTATTATTTGTGGAAATCTGAATTACTACATTTATTCCCTGAAATGTCACATATCTTTAAGCAGAATTGATACATCAAAGGTACGTTTAATACAAGATATGAAAGTGTATTGCAGCAATTCAACATTAAATACTTAGAACAATATAAGACGCCATTTCTTAGCAAAAAAACAAACAACATATTTCTGAATTTTGGCACAGCTGCATTTACAAATATATAGACACAACATTTACAAGGTTTCGTAAGACTGCTAACGTAGCAAACAAAAAATGAAAGCCGTTTACAACTCCCTGTAACGCCGAATTGGAGCGCAGCTCTTGAGGAGGAGGAGGGAAGGGTACTCAGGGGAGAGTATACCCCTCCTTTCTCCTCCTTCCCTTCTGGGGGTCACGTGACTTAGAAGGGGGGGGGTCACGTGATCCCGGGCGGGGGTACGTGACATGGGGTCACGTGACCTGGGGGGTCACGTGACCCCTCCCCGAGGTCACGTCACTCCGGGAGGGGGCTCGCGCAGTGCATTATGGGACATTTCCCATAATGCACCGCGCGGTTACGCCAACGGCGACGCCTCTCAAGCCGGAAACGGGCGCCTAAGAGCTGCGCTCTAAAAAGAACTCTGTCGAACCACTGACAGGTCTATCACGTCAATCTACAGAATGAGGACACGTAAAAAATATCTATCATGGCCGCTTCACCACACGCGCGAAGGCTATTCATAATCGATTAGTTTCTTCCTAATTTTAATATTTCTTTCAGATAAAAAAATGAAAGCCGTTTACAACTCCCTGTAACGCCGAATTGAAGCGCAGCTCTTGAGGAGGAGGAGAGAAGGGTACTGAGGGGAGGGTATACCCCTCGGGTCAGGTGACCTGGGGGGGTCACGTGGCCTGGGGAGGTCACGTGACCTTAAGGTTACGGCGACGGCGACGCCGCTCAAGCCGGAAACGGGCGCCTAAAGGCACGACCACATTGGCGTCGGGGAGGCCTGCGGCGCGCCGGTCGGCGGTGCCGTTTGCCGACCCAAACCAGTTTTAGGCTTCAACGGCGCGACGTACTTACAACGCCACAGAGCCAACCGCTCCTTGCGCGGTTCAGAGCTCGCCGCCGCTCGCCGCAGAAGAGAGGAGCCAATGGGAGGTGGCGTAGATAGTGACGTCGCGATGCCATGGCAACGCTCAAGCCGGTCCCCCGCGTCTTTGATGTTCTGAAGGACGTGTTTCGTGTCGTCTGCTATCCCTATTCCCCCCGATGCCTTCCCCAACGGAGCGGTTTTTCGAAACTGTGCGACTGTTTCCCTTTTTATGACAAGACGCAGCCAGACTACCTAGATAATGACGCTAAGAACGACTGCTGGGAAATTATAGGAGAGGAATTCGGAACTACAAGTGAGTTTCTCCGTTGCACTTGTTGTATGTCGTCTGTGTTGTGACGGATGTCGTGTCGATTTGGTGACACTTTCGAAAGTAGCCGTCATCTCTGGCGCGCCGCCGGGGCAGCAAAGCACTAACCTGTCCTTCGGTGTTTCGGTAGAATCAACTCGGCCGGACCCAAAACCTGCGCCTCCTTCCCTGCAGAGCGCGGCGACGTCGCACGATCAACGAGCGGGCTAGGATAATCACATTGACGCTGATCACCAGGTCATCATGGACTCCTACCATGTAGGCAGGGAGTGCGGTTTCGATGCTGGTATATGCGAAAGATGAGAGCCGAAACGGAAGAATCTAACGAAGAGCAGACGACGAAAGAGCAGGAAATCCGACGGGAGGCGCGATCGCGAGATCCAGTGCTGTCACGTGACGCCCGCAAAACGGAGGCCAATGTGGACGCCTCGCATTGGGACGCCGGACGGCGATGCCGCTCGGCGGCGCCGCCCGGCGGCGCCGTTCACGCTAGTGTGGTAATGCCTTAAGAGCTGCGCTCTAAAAAATGAAAGCCGTTTACAACTCCCTGTAATGCCAAATTAGAGCGCAGCTCTTGAAGAGGAGGAGGGAAGGGTACTGAGGGGAGGGTATATTCCTCCTTCCTCCTCTTCCCCTCGTGATCCTGCCCGTTACTCCTC